TAAAAGTCTACCCCATTGTTTTAATGTTATTTTAAAAGATGTGGGTATAACCAGTGGGCAATGGAATATCTGTCCCATGGCAGGTTTGGAGAAAGTAATTGAAGTCAAATTTGCCTTTGTGTTGGCCTAGTCCTATGCAGGAAGAGGTGCTTTGAAGTCTCGAGGATGTTCTTGAGATACGGCTTTGTCTAGAATCAAGGTGCCCTTGAGATACCATGAGAAATTGATGTTGCACTAGACCAGTATTTTTCAACCTTTTTTTAATCTCACGGCACACTTGAACCTATGGTTAAACTTTGCAGCACGCTTAAATTATGTTGATCAAAAAAAAAAAAAGAGTAAAAGAAAGAATATACTTACTGTGCTTTGAACTTCTTTCAAAAATAATTTAATTAATGGTCTTTAAAATTTTTTGTGGCACACTAGTTGAAAATCACTGCTGTGGAGCATTGCTTTAGCCTTGGTATGTATGAAGATTTCCTACAGAAATAGATGTCACAGTTTGGGATCCAAAATGCTTTTCAAATAGGCTTACGTCTTTGTATCTTTTGTGTTAACCTGGATGGAGATGAAACACATTCTTCTTAGTAAAGTATCATAAGAATGGAGAAACAAGAATCCAATGTCCGCAAAACTAATATGAAGCCAGAAGAAAATCTAATACATGCCCACATAAGAGAAAAACTCAATTCAAAGTGGGGGGCGGGAGAACAGGGAGAGGAGAGGAAGAAGGGGGATGGGAATGGACGTGCTCCCACTTAATGGGTACCATGTTGGGATGTATGGCTCACCTCTTGGGGGCAGGACATAATTATAAGAGGAACTTCAGCTAACACATGCAAACATTGTAACCTAATTCTTTATACCCTCAAATTAACCTGAAACAATAAAAAAAAAAAGCTGACAACTCAATCTTTCCAGATTTCAATAAGAAAATACAGGAATGTTCAGGAAAACTGATGTTGGAATTACATGTGATTATACGTAGTGGAGCATGGCTTTTAAAAAAATGTACATACAAATAAAAATGTGCTAAAGGAAAAGGGAGTGCAAATATTTGACATAAAGCAGAAAAAAAAATTAAAGAGCAGATAAAAGCATCAGGTCATCTGATCAGATGAAAGATTCCTCTGAAAGCAAAGAACACATATTCCGAGTGTGAGGATAAACTATTGGGATCTGAGGTGCAAGGCACATTCTAGAATCGTCGTACCATTAGGAGTGCAAATATTAAGTGATAAAAAAGGAAATATGGGTAGCTGAAAATGGGATGTACCTACAAGGGCAAATGCCGCAGCAGACCGGCTAATCACATTACAGGCAGGTAGAGATCAAGGGTACATCCTGTAATGAACCTATTCTGGAGTTATAAAAGCGACTGCCAGCTGTTCCTGATTGAAAACTACTTGAGGCACAATGACCCAGAAAATCCATATGGTACCAAAGGCAAACGCTTAATTAGATGTATCACTTCTAACTGCAGAAATCCACACTCCCAGACGGAAGTAGATTAATTATAAGGCGTATGTCAGGAGTGTGACTTTCAAAAATGCAACCCCTTTGGCGACTGAAACATGCTACTATTGGATGGGGTGGGATAATTTTTTTTTTTGCCCTCTCTTTTGACACCGGGGACATATAACTTCTATAATGAACAGTATTTTCAAGTATATGCTATTAGAGCTGCAAGAAATCAGAGTGATCGGGCTCCTGCCACAAGCTAAAGATCCAGTCATCCTCTCACATCCGAAATGATAAAACAGTCAAGGCTGAGTAAGTTGCACATGTTCAAAAGATCATTGCCAAAAGTCAACAAAGATTTTTTTTTTTTAATAAGGATTTTTTTTTTTTTTTTTTTTTTGCAGTTTTTGGTTGAGGCTGGGTTTGAACCTGCCACCTCCAGCATATGGGGCTCGCACTCTACTCCTTTGAGCCACAGGTGCCACCCTGAGACTTTTTCTTTTTAAAAAGTTTAAGTGTTTAAACTTGGGAACGAGTCTCGAAATGACTATGCAAGGCAAAAGCTACATCTGATTAGTAGCAAAGGACTTTTAAGATCTTGTTTCAAAGGGAATGAGATCACACAAAATTGATGTGTGTCTTATGCCGTCTCTCTCAGCCTGTCACTATAGCGTTCTTGAGGATGGAAACTTTGTATCTTCACTGAGGTGTTAGCTGAACCTTTAGTGGGGTGGTTGGGTTTACAATGTCAAGCCTGGGAACATTGGGGACCAGACAGAGGGTTATAACTGTGCTTCCTACTAATTTTCGGCTGTGCTACCACTGGTTTAAGAAGCCATCTAGAAAAATGAGGAATCCACTACTGTGTGTGTGTCTGGGTTGAAAGACTCATTATTCCCTTTTTTAAAAAAAAAAAAATTAGATCATAACTGTAGATTACTGTATTTATGGGGTACAATGTACTGATTTTATATACAATTTGGAATGTTTAGATCCAACTGGTTAACAGATTCACCTTGCTCATTTAATTGTTGTGTTTAGACATTTATACTCTACCATTAATATATTTGACATGTACAATTGCAATATGCACAGGAAGTAAGGCGGTGGGACCTCATTATTCCCTTGTAAATATTCCTTGAACAAAATGGTTCATTTCTGTCCTCCATACACTTTACACAACAATAAACATCTACTTATTCATTTATGTCATGGTCCTCTCACTTTTATTCTGAAGTCCCTATTCTATGTACTTTTTAGGCTTAGGTTATGTAGATTGCTGTTAGCCCAGATTCTGAGGGCGGGAGGGAGGGAGGAAACTTCTTTTAAAAAATAAACAAAACACCTTTGTTTTCTTGTTTGCATAAGACTTTGCAAAATAATAGCCCACCACATTCAAATAAATGCAGTTTGGAATGCAGCAAGAGAATTTTATGTTTAAGGAATCAGAAAGGGCAGATTTCTTCCTTAGTAAACTTTAAATAAATGTAAGTCATGAGTACAGGAAATTAATAACTTCCTGGTCTGGTTCCTTCTCAAGCCCCCCTTACCTCATCTGCAGGCTGAGGGTAGACTGGGTGATGCTGTGAATTTTATCTCAAGCAAATAATCAACCAAGCTTTGAAATTTCTTCATTAAGCATTGTGGTGACAATTCACACGCTGTGTATGCCACCGGCTTTATTTCCAGTGGTAGTTTCTCAGTTGGAGAAGCGGGTCCCAAGTCATTTGCAGCTCAGTTAAACTCACTGCTTTATAGAGCAGTGATTACATTGATGTCCTTATTAAATGACCAAATCTCTCTCTTGCATCTTATTAGGGAAGTCACAAGCAACCAAGAATGGCATTATCCGCGTATTATGGCCAACGAGCATTATTTGATTTGGGCTGTGCAATATCGCATGTGATATTTATTACCTGTGAATTGCTTTACAGGGACCTAGGATGTACTTTATGAGGCAGGTCATAAAGGGAAGGAGATTATTTGATCAGAAGAATCCACGCTTTGTTTCTGAGAGACTGTCTCATCTGAAACAAAATCTGACGAATACACCGTTGGGTGGGCTAAGACCTTTCCAGCTGTTTACACTTGGGTCGTGAAAGGGCAGTTAGACATAGACTAACAGCGTGATGTGAGCTGCTGCGTAAAAAGGCTACTTATGGAGCATGCCCAGTGCGGGAGGACGGCCTCCTCCCTCTCCTCCCTCCGCCCCCTCCAGATCTCCAAAGATAAGGCTTGAACTTTGCACTCGCAAATGTCACTGGATACGTTTTTGCACTAGTTTTTTTTTTTTTTTTTTTAAGGTTCTCTTACAACTCATTTCCTTTCCCAATGCGAGGGCAAGGAAGAGAATATTTAGGGTATAAGATGCATTAAGTTTAGAACGAGTTGATGCCCATCTTTGAATGCACTTGAAGCGTTCTTTATTTTGAAAGCCATAGAAAGCATTCCAGCGTGTCTTTTCCGCGCCCCCCCTGGAATGGGGAAGTAAGAGTCTCCTCGGATGGGAGTCCTCTGGGGCAGGGCGTGAAAGCCCCGGAGGCAGAAAGGGACGGAGAAGAGGGGCTTGCCCGGAGCATGGATTGGGGGGGAGCTCGGGCTCTCCAGGGCTCAGCGCACACTGGGAACCTGTGCCCCGGGCTGCAGCTGCGGAGGATACAGGCGCCGTCTGGCTCATGAAGGCTACCTGGATCAGGCTTCTGAAAAGAGCCAAGGGCGGGCGGCTGAAGAATTCTGATATCTGTGTAAGCGCAAAGGCTTTCCTTTGAGGGAGACGCTGTTTTTGCTTTTCTGTTGCAGTGAGAGCAGGTGGAGAGGGTGGCTTGACAGAGTTAATCTGATCCTGATTGCAGGAGAGGGAGCTAGGGAGATCGCTATCATTTTCTGTGTGCGTGATTTATTGCCACAGAAGCTATCCCCGAGCAGGTGTATTCTGTAGACAGCTTTAATTGAATCGATGTAAAGGGATTTTAAAATGTGTTGCTGGAAGATGGAGTGAACTGGGCTGCTTGTGTCTTACGTTCTGTGGCAGAAGGTAGCAGGTGTGCAAAAAGGTATAAAAGATTCCTCAAGATTAAAGCAGGAGTCCTGTCAAGGTAGTAACATTTGAGAGAGCAGAAGTTTATACCTCCTTAGACTTTGTTTTCTGTTTTTCTGAGGCTTCCTGTCTTCCTAGTTTTAAATACTTGCTTTAGCAGATAGATTGTTCCCGAAGCTATCCTTGAAACCCATGGGTGCCCTTCAGCCCTGCACTGCACCACTGAGCTGCTTTAATTATAAAGGAACTTGTTCTCGCTTTCAGAAAGGGTAATGTCTGGAATAGGAGGCTTGGGAAGGAATGGTAGCTATGGGGAGACACAGCTGTGCTCCTGCAATCCACAGCATGATTTTCTAGATGGTTTGCTGCAAAAGGGATTCTTTTCTCCTCTTTTCAGGAATGGATAGAACCATTCTGGAAGCTCACTGCCGTGTCGATGAGATACTTCCAAGGCACACATCATAGATGGAATCTATTTTAAAATGTACATTTTCCTCTCCAGGGTTCGGCAGACTCCTACACCAGCCGTCCATCCGACTCAGATGTATCTTTGGAGGAGGACCGGGAGGCAGTGCGCAGAGAAGCTGAGCGGCAGGCCCAGGCACAGTTGGAAAAAGCAAAGGTAAGACTGTGTCTTCTCTGCCACGATTGGGCTTTGCAGGCTGTGCCCTGCAGGTGATGGGCCACCTGTGGGAGTGTCCTCTAAAGCTTAAGTCTGGTCTATCAGAATATTCCCTTGTCTGGTTTAAATGAGAAGTAGAAGCTATTTGCTTCCCTTGGTAGAAAAAGGAAGGGCAGTATATAAGAGTGGTCTTTATGTTTGTGTTGTTTTATGAGCCAAGTAATTGGTTTCTGCTGGTGGATAGCTTACGAGAACACACCCCAAAAGATCCCCGAATGCACAAAGAGGAAAAAATGCATCTAACTGAGATCAAGATAGTTTGCATTATTTTTCCAGTGAATCATATCTCTGTTTAAAAAAGCCAACCTCCTTCAAGCTCATGTGCATGTCCGTAGACTTGAATGATCTTTTCCCCAAATGTTGCTCAGTTGGTGTTGCACGTTATCCTCTTGTTAAAATATTGATTCCATTATGTTTTTCAAACCTAAAGTGAAGAGATAAAGGATTTTATTGATTAAAGTGTGTTTCCTTGGAATATTTTTTGGTCCATCGCATCATAATCAAGTGTATAGCTACAGAGGGAGACTGGAAATCAGATATGGACTATATAATTACAGGTTTTTTCTTAAGCTGTGTTTCATTTCACTAATTGGAGTGATTTGAAGTCTTTTTTTTTTTCCCCATGTAGTCATTTGAACAGCTATTTCTAAAGCATAGACTGTCGTCCCAGTTGAAGGTAGCTTGGCTTATGGGAGACTCTCTAACTTCGAAAATGAACATGTTTTAGTATGGTGGTTGGTTTTCTTTTGAAAAATTACTGCCTCGAAGAAGAGTAGTGCTGGGTTGATCTTGCTGAAAAAATCAGGGTAGCGTTTCTGCTGGCTGTTTCATCTCTGAGATGAGTAAAATCTATGTGTGTTGCTATGGGAATCGTGGTTGGAGATTCTGGTTTGAATGCCTGGATGGCCCTTATGTAATATTCATGACCTCTAGCGCGGCTGCCATAGTAGTTTACTGAGAAACTGCCAGGAGACCTTGACTTCTAAGAAGCAGTATTTTCAAATATCAAAACAATCCTTCCCCCAAAACAGGAGGAAGGGAAATCATCTCCTGGTCCAGCAATCTTAACCACCAGATAGCTCATAAACAGTAATAACAAAGAGGGTTTTGCAACCTTGGAAACTGACAAAGCAAGATGTGGCCTAGTTGCCATCCACTAACTAATACAATGTATCAAAGTCAGCAACTGAAAACATTAGGTGGTTCAAGTTCAATGATGGAGAGCGTTAAATGATACCTGTAGGACTAGTGGAGTTAATTGCTACAAGTTTGCACTGTTGAGAATCTGAATTCTGCATTCGATATTTGACACTGTATATAAAGAAAAGTGAAAACAAAATAACACCTAAAACCTTGTATTCCAAAATAAAAGATTGTTCCACTTGTAACCAGTTGCTATATGTGATTTTCACATAAGAAAATCAAACAGTTTCTCAGATTGGAGTCTCATCATCCCACAACCCAATGTATTTGTTTCTCGAAGTCTTTAGTGACCTGATTGCGTCCCTACCCTGTGCTGTAAGTCACTAGTGGGAAATAATTGTGGTAAAGAACTTTGGAGTATCTCTTAACCTACCATAGATCCAAATGTTGATCCTAAATCAAACCAGGTCCCTATTACTTGTCATACAGCTTTAAAAGTTTGTAGATACGAATGATAGGGACGGTGAAAGAAAATGAGAATTTAAAACAAAGGCAGAATAATTGAAGGCTTCAGCTTAATGAAAATAGTTTGCATTCATTTTTTTTTCTTTAAAATTAGGTCAGTGTCTTAAACCTTTGATGTATTCAAATGAGTTACACGAGGGTAAGAGAGAATTGGGATATGCTTGAAAAGAAGATAGAAATGAGGATTTAATTTTACTTTATACAAAAATGATGATTTGCTCTCAAAGTCCAATATCCTTAAAGAATGCAAACTAGGGACTTGAGAAGTTTGCCAGATCGCATCATAACTTTGTGAGGCCTGTTTAAAAATGGAGACTTATAATATATAAATGCGTGAATTCCTCATTTCACTTCAGTTTGAAACACTTTGTGCATCCATTTTTGAAGAACCAACATTTTCTGCATTTACTCTGTAACCACTGCACTGGCATCCCTTAAGCTGAGACATTACAAGTTGGTGCTTTTGCTCTTCTGCTTTATAGACCACATATAATAAATAAATCTGTGCAAATACCAGGAAGAGACCTCAGCAGTGCTGACAGATCCTGGTCCTGTATAAATGTGAATACATTATTCACTAATTACCTTAATAATAGTTCTACCACATAAGGTAATTGGCAAGTAATTAAAACTAGAGCCACTGCCTTTTGAAATGAAGTGACCTACAAAAGATTATGTAATGAGGTCTTCACTGTCCCTTTGTTACAGCTTTTCTTAAACTCCTAGACTCTGCAGTGCATAGATTATATATTAATTTTGATGCCAATAAATATCAACTAGCATGTCCTTGCTTTTTAACTTGGTGTTTTCTGATTCCAAATGTGTGTTTTGACCTTGTTCAGTTATGAATGCTTGGCAAATCCTACCTTGTTTTGGTTTGTGCTTGTTGATAATATTTTAAAGACAAAAAATACATTAATTTCACGTATTTGCTTATTTATCTTTTCTTGATAAATAACCTTATTGAGACATAAATCACCCATCTAAAATGCATGATTCTGTGGTGTTCAGTATATCCAGAGTTGTGAAACCATTACTATAATCAATTTTAGAACATTTTCTTTTTGCTTTTTCTGGGTTTTTTTTTTTTTTTT